CACCATAGGAAAAGCAGCAGTCTCTTAAATAACTGGATTCTACATTATACAACAATTAAACACCCTTCACATAGGAAAATGTCCTCTATTTCTAAATCTACATAATAATCACTTTTCCCTATTCAACATCTTTCCCATGATTATATGTGTAAATGCTAAGAGAAATGCCTCAGCCACAGTTCAGTTGGTTATGAGTAGATTTTAATATCTAATTAAGATGGGTCATTATTTCAAAGAGACACCAGTGGAGATTAACTGGATGATACAATATATGGCATTGACTCAATTGGCAGCAGTATTTTCTTTGGGTCTAGAACAAAGTAATATCCTATTCAAGAGTTCAAAATGCTTTGATCCACTCTGTCATCTCAAAGAAGGTCTTTTATTAATGCAACAGAGATGCCTGCCAGGGTTTTCTTATCACCGGAATCAATGCTGCTGCAAGTGCTATATTTCAGATGCAACTTAACACTCCAGTTCTACTTTTGTTCACTGTGGAGCCCTTTTTACAAGAAGACTTGGCCACCTGACTTTTTATTACTATTTCTGTTGAAGAGTTTACTTCTTCCTTCCCACGTCATATTGCTGAACTCACTTCAGGGGTACTCACATTTCTTTACTCACTCTGCATCAGCAGTGGCCATATATATCCCATAAATAGGACTTGGTCCTGAATGTCCTACTCATAGATGTAAATGTATGTAAGTGTCTGATGAGACTGGTACTGTCTAATAAGTTTGTAAAACACACAGACATTTTGGAACTGTAACATATTATTATAAAACATTTACATACTTAAAGACTGCAAAACAATAGGATTTCCTTACTATGACATATTTCCCTCCCACACTTGCAAGCAAAGCAAATTAACATATCATCATACTTCATACTCTTAATCTAACGTCAGCTCTTAAATACACAGTTTATAAAACACAACAAAACTAAGTTGTCAGTCTCAGCAATAAGTCAGAATAAGTACAAAACAAGTTCCTTACTAAAATCATCTGACATATGATTTGACTTTTGAAATAATTATAGAATTATAATTTGCAAATCAAAATCAACTGACATGATAGGCTAAAATCTGGAGCTTGATCTTGTACTGGTGAAATAAAAAGGAAATTCTTTCCACTTTTGAGAATATCAAAACCAAGGCTCTGAATGGGCAAGGCCTTAGAGATAGTACTGTATTCAGTATGTTACCATTAATTCCTGTTAACCACGGTTTCAGTTTCTAAAACCTGAGAAATGAGAATGGATGGATCATCAGTCTGGACATTTTGGTTTGGTATACATTGTAAAGCACTGGTTTGTCAGGAAACAGTACCTCATAGTTCTCTATAAGAGTAACAGTGTGGCACATGACAGTGAAGCAGCCATGCAGCTGGCAGGCCCTTAAGCTTACAGATACTTCTGTTTTCAAAGTTAATAGCTATTGAGACATTTACCTTAAGTATTTTAACATTTTAAAGGTTACAGTAAGATTGTATTTATTTATTCTTAAAAATCTTCCACACAACACATCAGTTAAAGCATAAAATACCTGCACATTCTGTAATAAACTCAGTCTAGGCCAGAGTCTTTACAGTATAAAGGAGGGTGTGTACAACTCCTTTCATGTGTCAATAAATGTACAATCACTATACAAAAGCAAAGTTTCTGAACAAATAGTACTTCTAAAATGGTCATATTCATTTGAGATCAAGAATTGCCTTTTATTTGACTTCAAACATTTAACCCAGCACATCTTCCTCAGCTGCCTGTTCTGCTTTTTAAGTTGAAAGCCTGATTTCAGCCCATTGAAACTAAAGGGAATTTTGCAATTAATGTTCTGTACCCCATCTCCATTTCTCTAACAACAGTTGTCCTCATTTTCCTCCTGTTCAACATCTATGTTTATGTCCAACTTCTATGGTCTCACGCTTCCATCAACGCTGTCTCCATACAATCCTAAACATCCACTGGTCAGATTATGTGACCAATACATCTGTTCTAGAACAGGCAGCACAAGTATTGAGGTCATGTTGCTGAGAACACAGCTGTGCTGGGCAGGACACGTCTCCAGGATGAAGGACCACCGCCTCCCCAAGATCTTGCTCTGTGGTGAACTTGCCACTGGCTGCCACAAGAGAGGAGCCCCAAAGAGAAGATACAAGGACTCCCTGAAACAACATCTCAGCCTGGGCCATATTGATCAACATAACTGGTCTACTCTGGCCTCAAATCGGGAGGTCTGGAGACACACCATCTATAACGCAGCTGATGCTTTTGAAAAAGCACGCAGGATCACTCTTGAGGAGAAAAGACAACGCAGAAAGAATCACGTCTTGCCAACACCACCTAAGGAGTCTTTCTGCTGTGTCTTTTGCAACTGGACGTGCCTGTCTCATATTGGCCTCTTTAGCCACCAGCACACTTGTAGCAAATGTGAGTAGAGCCCTTCCAAAATCTTCGTTCGTGAAGCCCGGCCATGATCGTCTCATACTTCTGTTTCTTCATGTGCGTATCAGGTACCTACATTTACCTCTGCTGATTATTTCATCTGCATTGTCATTTTTTCCTTTTAAAAAAGCGTAACGAAAGTGAAAGTACACAGGGGTTTGGATATCCTTGGGATGCAAGGGCAGGGGAGGAGAATAGACCCACGATCTGCAAGCCATTTTTGAACTCTCAGAGACCAATGAAGTTTTCCTTTAGAGGCACAAAACAAATTTAAATCTTCTAGCAACACAGTGGGCTGGGGACTTTGCTATTTATCAACTGACAGGGGACTCTCAGAAACAGTCTATGGAGAACCAAAGGCTCCCATATTAAAGGTTAAAGACCCCTGAACTACATCTTCAATTATGGAAAGGATTTCCCTCCAATACTGTGATGCATCCATCTTATGTTAAGAAATTTTACACTGTTTACCTGTTCAGCGACATCATAAGGCACTAAATAATCACAAGAACTTCGTATTTCCACCCTGATGCATAAATTCAAAATTTTCTCATATAAATAAACTAACAATGAATTATTTGTAATAAACAACAAAAATCTTTCCTAAAAACACACATGCATGAAATTTACATTTCAAAGAAATTTCAAGTAATCGCTAATTAATCCTGTCTAAAATAATGTTTTTAAGTAACTTAGCTGTACCAAAAAAAAACCCTTAAAAAATAATTCTCAACTAAATGCAGAATCTTGATTATCCCAACTCCGTCTCCTAATAATCTCAAGCCAAACAAAGCCCCAACACAAAAATGAGGTTCATTTCTATGTTCCAGAACCAGAAAAAACAATATTGCTAACACATGCATACAGCTGAGCCTATGTCTTTAAACACGGTATGAGACAATCTCTGTCAGGTGCTTTACTTGTGCGTAGACTCCACATTCAACACAGTGACAATACCATTTGAATCACTGGGTTTGGGTGACAGATGCAGCTGGTGGCAGTTTTTAGTTTTTAAAGAACAAAGTCTTGGAAAACATTCAGGATATAACAAAAGTAAGATTTTTCGATAAGATCATTGGCCAAAAATGTTAGACACCTTTTAAAAGTACCGTTGAAAAGAGTCAGCTAGAAAATACTGGTTTTTATTATTTCAATCTATTTGTTTAAAGGCAGGCAGGCAGTATAAGCATTCAGTGGGCAGAGATCAAAACTCTTACCTACCTCCCAACAAATTGATACTTTTACCACCAACTACAGCTGTGTTTTCTCTCTACTTTCTTTGTATTTCTTTCTCTCAAGATTTCAACAGCTCCCATCTCAGCCTTCCTAGAAGACTAGCTCAAGAGTAAGCAAGGTCCAGCATGAAATGACAGCAGCAGATGCAGAACTGCTTAGCCCGTCTTACATAATTTGCAAGCCTAAATGTCAAGCCAGTCAGTGCTAATTACAAAGTCATGGCTTCTTAGACCTCCAAGTAAATCTGTACTCTGTCACAGAACCTTACAGAGAGGGAATGGCTGCTTTCAAACTAACTGTAGAATTCAAACCTCCTTCCTGAAAAGGCACTATAACCACCAGAAAAGCACCTCCCAAGCTCTCCATGAAACCATAATAAAACAGCCTACAGGAGCATATTAAACAGTTTTCAGTAGAACTAAATTTTTAACAACAGTAGTTTGTGGTGGTTCTCAAGATCTCAAGATCAATTACTGCATTAGCTATCATTTGAAATGGTACACAAAGCAATAGTTTGTACAAAACAGATGACCTGGACACCTTAAGCAAAAGTAATTTCAGGCTCTGAGCTCCAGTCTCAAAATAAATACCTGAATCAATGGGTGCTGTTAGATGCTCAACTCTAAAAGAATAAAGCAATTTCTGACACGTCTTATCTCAAGTACTCTTTTATCAGCCACCTTGGGAGTCTCCCCTCTTTGCATGATGCCTAAAGTAAAGTCTACTTTACTTTACCCAGTGTACTATTCATAGAGGTTACACACCTCTGTGTGTAACACAGAAGTCTCTTCATCTTTTTTGAATCCCAAAATTTTATCACTACTTGAAAGTTAATCTGAACCCTTCTAGAATTAAAAATAAAAGAAGGAGCTTGGCCTATTTCAAACATTTGGCCCTATAGCCACTTGATATACTGAAGCTGAGGGAAGTCAGATAAAAGAAAGGGTGGGGGGTTTTTTCTGTTTTGGCATATTCATGCCTACAGGTAAGGTCATACAAATTTATCTTCAATTTTTAAATTACAAAGAAGATCGAGTAAGTAAGTGGTAAACAACAGGAAAAAATGTTTGTAACTATCTCCCTGCTGAAAACCAGCACTATCAAGTGGCAGCGATGAAAGTGTTTTAACAAGATTATTATTGCCAACAATATGACAAATTAAGTCTCCCAAACTAAAAAACGGTAGTAAGACAAAAAGTAATGTAGCTGGAATGTCAGCTCCAGCTATATTCGAAGAGCTTAAATGAACCTAATAAAATCCAGTTCTGAAAAGACATTTCAACTGTGAGGGACTGGGTATTCTTCTTGGACAAGGAACTCACCCAGATTTCAAGTCTGTAATCCGTAAACAATTAGTAGCATCCAGTCCTACTTTTCCATTTCTGACCACACTGGAAATGAAGGGCGAGAGCGCTGGAGAAATTCTGTTCAAGGCAACTTCAGGTGACATTTTAGTACGTTCCTCCTTCCTTTTGTCTTGAGCTGCAAAGGGACGGCAAAGGAAAAAAATAAAATCCAAAAATAGCCTACTTATTTGATGTAAATTCACACGTACTCTGCAAACATCAAAAGGAAAAAAAAAAGCCAAGCACACAAAGGTCTACAAGTAACCAGTAAGTGTGCACAGGTTTATAAACTAAAAATAAGAACAGGTAGGTTTTTTTCCTCCTACCTCTGCAGTATTCAGTGAAGCCCGTTTATTCAATATCAACAGAAACTCAGAATTATGTCCTAGGCTTCTGTAATTAAGGTCCTATCCCTCTGAGAAAGAGAAAAATAACTGAGGGTCACCCTGACAGTTTACAATCTAGACCTCCTTGTGGGCATTTCCATTAGGTCTGTAATTGACAAGCCACATTTCCTCTGCTTCCACTGAAATCAATGGGACTTACAATAACTGCAATGGGCCCAAGGGTTTGAGTATTTTTCCATATTCTCACGTGCAATTTCTAATAGCACTAGTGTACCCATAACCAGTATTACTTTTACACTGGACTTCATTAGGACTTCATGATGCCTTTTAAAGGCTAACACTGCTTCTCCTTCAGTGGTATTGCCATACTCTTTGATAAGCATCTTCATCTTCCTTCACATAACAGATCAGGAAGCTGATGTAGACACAATTTAAGCAGTTTTTTCAGAAATACTGCACTTGCGTGACCTTATGATAAATCAGACAGGCCACCAAGTTAGCACCCTTTAAGAACCTGTTGCTTTTTAAGTGAAATGCAGAAACTGAGCATGCACATGTTTTAACTCATGGCACCACAAAAAGACTAGGGTATGTGGACAACAACAGACTGTGGTAAGACAAGTGGGAGAAAAGAAGGGTAACCAAACTATTAAAATGTTAACATATTTTATCATATTCTTAGGCACAGTTTCATCTGAAAATTAACCGAACTTGGCAGTTTTGCAGAAAAAGGCTGTAAATGACTGAAGGTAACATAAACATGCCACATCAGTGGGACAAAAGAGCTCATACTTAAACTCTGACCACTAGAAAATATTTTTTAAAATATGCATTTAATTGAAAAACAGCAATACACACTGCATTCGCTTTCTTACAAAATGCTGCATATGGACTGTTGTATTAATAAGTGTTCTATAAAGAGAGTGTGAACAACTCATAATCGCAATTTTCTGTTGTTTCTCACACTCAGTTTACAAGTATTAGTTAGTAACTACGGGATATTCTACAAACTAGTAGTCTTCTGTAACTGGGAGCAACATTAATTTCACATTCTATTTCACATTCTATTCTCATGAAAGACATTCACACTGAAGCAACACAAAGCAATGCTCAAGAAAGAGTGTTTGTCCTGCTATTTGGAATGTATTTGAATAAAACAAAGGCCAGGTACATTAAGGCAAACAGAAAGACTAATAAAGTAAGACTTCCTAAAAACAGTAATTATCTTTAATACACTGGCTCCAACATTTTATGGTAGCAAAGCTGAAGACTAAGTATCCATGCCCTGGCATATAATGTGTTCTCTTCACAGATATGATTTGCTGTAATTGACAATGGCAACAACTTTGCTTAGCAAACACCTACAGCGATGTAATGCATTACCTCGTTTGGTACTTTTCAACCAAAAATTACTGCCTACTTACCTTTATTCTTCCCCAGAGGGAGTGAGAGAACACAAGCCCACACTTGACCTATTTCAATGCAAAGTCCAGTGGCTTACATTGAACTGCTAACAAAGATGAGTTTAAACTAAAACACTTTGCACAAGAGCGGCTAAAACAGGGCACATACTTTAGTCTGCCAGCCCTGCTGTAGGGAAGAGTAATTTCAAGCAGGGGGCAGGTGGGCTCAGGAAGATAAGAACTTAAACCATGACAAAATGCTGAAAAACAAGCTATCCTTTTAGAAATCTTAAACTCATACACAAGGACCTCAGAACTGGTTTTAACACATTTTAAGGGGAGTGTGTTATGAGAACGAAGTTGTGAGAAATAAGAGATACACATGGTAGCCACAGTTGAACAGATGCACCTTCCAAAATGAACTGCAGAATGAGATTCCTTATCTTTTTGTTAATAAAATTTACAGATATTGTCAAATCAAGATATACATTACTGTTAGGCATTTTTTCTGAATTTTTGTATCTTTTTTTTTAATCACAATACCTTCTATATAAGCCATATCAGTTAAACTAATTTATTTTGTAAACAAAGGGCTTTATAAACTAGAACACAATTTGTACCATTTTTTTAAGTTTCAGATGTCATATACATTTTTTTTCCTCCTAGCTTAAGTTTCCCACAGTACTGGAAACCAAACACCAACAAACTCAAAGGAATTAACAAAAACAAAATTCACTGGACTGTTTCCCTTCCAAAACAAAGCATTTGAAAGAAACAAACGAAACTAGTAGTTGGATCCCTTTAGATTCAGCTGGCTGAATAACTTCAGGCTAATGTTACATATGCCTCAAAGTAACCATGGGGTCCCAGGCACTGCTTCAGGCACTGCTTCAGGCACTGGACAGTGTCTGGATGACAGATAAGTCTGTCCCTCCACCCCCGGCAACAGCATTATGGGCATTTAGTGAAGCTTTAAGGCGGCAAAGGAGCGCGAGGGGACCTTTCCTGTCTGACCCTCTTGGCGTGGCCGTCGGCAACGTGGTTGTGTGGTTTTCACTTTGGGGGTGGCAGGAACGGGTGTTTGGGTGTGAGTGGGGAAAGGAGGGGACCCACCACCACCAGCACCTCCTGCTGCTGTGCTCGAACGCACGCACGGAATGCTCCCAGCAACGTGGATCTGCGGGGTCCCAGGACACCCCTGACCTCCCTCAGCCCTGGGACGGGAGAACGCTCAGAATCCAAGGTGGGTCAGGCTGGAAAGGGACCACAGTGCGTCACCTGGTCCAACCTCCCGACTCAGACAGGGTCATCCTAGAGCACACTGCACAGGACTGCATCCAGGTGGTTCCTGAATTCCAGAGAGGGAGACCCCACACCCTCTCTGGACAGCCTGTCCCGGTGCGCAGTCACCAGCACAGTAAAGAAGCTCTTCCTCATATTCAGTTGGAACTTCCTGCGTTCCCGTTTCTCTCCGGGCTGGCCCTGGCCCGGCCCAGCCCCACTCCCTCCCCAGCCGGGGCCGCCCCGTGCGAAGGCGGTGGGGCCACCACCCGCGGCGCTGCGCCCGCCCCGCCCCAACCCAGCGCCGCTGTTTACACCGGCCTCCGCCGACTCCGGGTCAGTTCCTCCCGGCGCCAGATCCCAACTCGCCCGCTTCTGCCCCAGGAGGGGCAGGAGCGCTGCTCCCTCCCCCCGCGCCCGTCCCGCTCGCCCCGGCCCCGCCATTACCTACGGCGGCCGGAACTCGCCGCTTGGCAACGGCGTGCGCGCCCCCGCTCCCGCCGTGCGCGCCCCCGCCCCGCCGCGCGCCGTGCGCGCCTCCGCTCCCCCCACGCCGCCGCCGCTGCCGTCCCCGCCCGGGCCGGAGGGGTCTTCGCAGGCCCCGATAGTGGTGGCTGTCGCAAGTGCCTGAGCGGGCTGTCTGGCGGCTCGGCCGCGGCCGGAGCGGGGCAGGGGAGGCGGGAGGAGGGGGAGCCGCCGTGGCAGCAGGCGCTCGGCAGGGCAACACTGCCGGGCGAAGGCCCCCGCGGGCAGCCCGTCGCCCCTGGCAACGGGCGAAGCGGCGGCGGGGCCGGGCCGGGTCGGGGTCAGGGTCCGGGGCAGGGTCCAGGGGCCGCCCGGCGCCATGGCCGCGCAGGTGGTGGTGGTGGGATCCTGCATGACCGACCTGGTCAGGTCAGTACCGCCAGGGGGTTTCCTGCGGCCCTGAGGTCGCGGAGCGCAGGGCGTCGCGGTGCTCGGGGCAGAGCGGGGGCTCCCGGCCGGGCTGGAGCCGGGCGGGCGTCACGTTCCTCCCCAGGCCAGGATGGCAGGGGCGGAGCGCTCGGCCCCGGGCAGAGGGAACCGCGGCTGCGGCCGAGGCGGGGGAGGGACCGCGCACCGAGACGGGCTGTACAGGGAGCGTGTGGAGTCTCCCTCACGGGAGAGGCACAAGAACGTCTGGACACAATCCTTTGCCATGAGGTCTAGGATGACTCTGCCTGAGCAGGGAGGTTGGACCAGGTGACCCGCTGTGGTCGCTTCCAACCTCACCCATTCTGGGATTCTGTGCAGGGGGGCGGCTAGGCCCGGGTGATGTCAGCCCGCAAATAGTGCTTTGAAAGAAGAGTGTGGGAACGGGGAGAAGTTTGAACGTGTTTGTGCGCTGGAGCTTTGATCAGCTGTCTGTGACTGGAGAGAGGAGAGACTCGGGTTTGTGTTCTCAGCTGTGCCGAGTGGGTCGGCCTTGGCCTGGCCAGGAAAGCAGTGTTTTACAGTAACCTGCACGGGAAACCGTGAACTCTGAGACTTATTACCAGCAGAGGAGTCTGAAACGATTTTGTGGAAGTAAATAAAGCTGGTCAACTGTAACACATTTTCAGTTCAAAGCATTTGTCACCACTGGAAAAACGATAAAGAAACAGTATGACGAAACCGAAGGTAACTCCATGAAACAGTAGGTTGTAAGTTGATTACTTGCAGGCAACGTTTTGTGTGACACTTTGAAATGAGATTGGAGGGGGGCAGAGGGAATGCCTCCCAAGCTGTTTGTATCCGAACAGATCAAGAAGTGGATATAGGAAGCCCTCAAAAATTTAGCACCTCTGCACCCCAAAACTGTTTTTTAAATTATTACATCAGTTTTTTGAAGGAATACCTTAATTTATTTTTATTCCTTTTCTGGGCATTTTGCTTTTCAAATTAAGTACTTGGGTCTAATTGTCTTTTTTTTTTTTTTTTTGGACATAGGTAAGGTCTGGAAACGTCTTCTAAAAACTAAAGCACAGAAGCTCATAAAAGGTCTTGGTTCCTGTAGCCTGGGCTTTATAGTGAATACTAAATATTGGGAGAATTCAAGCAAAATTGCAAGAGTTTTCAACAATGCAAATCCTAACCTGAACCAACTGATCTTACCAGTCCCAGTAAACTTCCAAATCAGTCTTTGATTTTCACTATTTTAAACACATCTGTTTCTAAACTATATATGCAGACTTGGTTAAAATAGGCTTTAAAAGTTTATGTATCTGGACTGCATCAGCTGGTCCTGCTAGGAATTCTGCAGTAAAAAAGTATCCTCTATCCACAGGCAATTATACCAAAGCCTGTGGGCCAAGAAAGTGCAGAATATGTGATTAGAAGAATATGCTGAGAAGTACCATTTAGGTATAGACTTGTGTTGCAGAAACAATTAAATCCCTTAAATAATCATAGAACCTGTGTCAGAAAGATTTAATGCTTTATGTAATCTGCAGAACAGGATGGCAGCTTTCCAAGAGGAATAGTTGTCTTGTAAGTCAGAGTAAGAACTGTGGAACTGATCTTGACGTTATGTGTGAATGAGCTATCAGATGCTCCTGACGTTGCACTGAAATGTAAAATGTGGTGCTCTAACCTCAAGACGTTCCTTTTCCTGTCTGTTGAAAGTGTGGAGGAAAAAATAATCAAAAAATTCTGACAACTGCAGCTTTGGGCTTTTTTTGACACTTAAACAAACAAACAAGAAAACTCCCTTTTTTATTTTTTTTTGGCTGCAAATCTGATATGATAGGAATGCATCATTCATTTGAAGCCATATTAGCTGGCCACACTGTAACCAGAGATTACAGCGTGGGCTGTAGCGATAGATGCTGTTACACTGAGATTAAGTGGTCAAAGAAAAGCCATTTCATTTTTCAATCAGCTGAGAGGATTTCTTAAATTGTACAAATGCTATCACAAGCATGTATCTGACTCACCATTATTAGCCTCTACTTTAAGGAGCAGTGGAGAGCTTTTTGTGTGTGATAAGCTAATTCGCAACAAACAGCTTCATTCTTTCTGTTACTAGCACAGGACTACAAACACTTAGCAAAATAAGAAAAAGAGTGTGTTTAAGTTTAGCTGACAAGAGTTTAATCTGGAAAAAGCCTCCATATAGTACCAGTGTAGACATAGTTTAAATTTATCTTGGGTTACAAAAATCTGTGTAAAATTACCGGAAAGGACTAAGCAGTAGGCTTGGTTGTACCTAGGTGGAACAGGAAACTATAAAGTTTTATTAAATGTGGTAAAAACTGTTGGGTTAGGATTAGGATTGGTGCCAGGAGCATAACTCTTGACTGTCTTTGTATCTGGGATTTAGAGGGGGCTGCATATTCTAGATTTAAAGCTAGGGTTCTTTTCAGCTGGAATGAAAGAGCATTCGGGGGGGTTGTGAGTTTGTCTGTCATTTGTGCTGTTGTTTCAGTTTGCAAGAGACTTGGATAGCAGTGTTCATGTTAAATGCCTGTCACTCATCTGGAGGAGCCCGAATGAATTTGTGAGTCACGCAGAGGAGGTCAGACACATTTTTGGATACATTGTGTTTGATGGGCATATTCACTGCTCAACACTAAAGCCTGTCTTCTTAGAAGATAATGATATTTTTTGAGACTCTGTAAGAGCTACACAAACTCTGAGTTACTGTGTTGTAACTCAAACTGGTAAAATACCATGTTGGCCCTTTAAAATACAGCCTTGTCCTTCTGTCTGGACAGCTAGAAGCTCAGAGTGTCAGACTTTAAATGGTAGTGTCAGGCTTTAAATGTTAAGCATTCCCAGGTCTGTAGAGACAAGGTAGTGAAAAATTTCAAGCTACCACTGGACATATGGTAGCCAGATTCACCACTAAAAAAATCAGTGCAAAATGGTTTTACTCAGTACATAAACTGATGATTTAAAGAAGCGTAACCTCTGTGTGAAATGGAAACATACAGTTTGAAATTTGCTGTATTTTATGTAATGACTGAGGCAGAAAAGGACAGGGACTTTCTGTTAAAGACAGATATTCAGATTTGATTATTTTGAGAAATAATCAAATTCAGAAGAAAGGGTAGTTTGTCTTAAAATTCTTCTAAAGGGAAGAGGCCCAATGGTTTGCTTTTAAAACACTGTTCTTATTGGAAATTCTTTTCTCATTGTGCTGTAGCGCTGCAGTGGCAGAATGTGGGTTTTCTAAAGTGAACTTCATATGATCAAAACAACCTCACGTACATACATGCAGTAAACCACACTCTTTTGGCTTAGTAGGACCAGGAACAAAACATATTTGTGGTCACAATCACAATCAACACTTCATTGGCAATAGCAGGCAACAGTAATAGAAAACAAAAACAGCATTATTCTATATGATCTAGATATCAAACCAGATGGGTACTATCCATAGTATTATTTAAATAATTTCTCCTCTGACTCATATTTGCAGACTGGTCGTGGCATTGGCATTTTAATTCATATTAAATCAGGACAAGACTAAACATATAAACCAATGAGAGCCAGACACACTAAAACAATTACAATAAACAGAAGAAACTTTGGCGTGGCAATGGAAAACAGCACAAGCATAGAACAAAATCTAAGATGGAAAAACAGTCTTTGGATAGTCACAACAACAACAGCCTTTCAGTTTAACTTAAGAGAATGACACCACAGTCCAAATACTGGAAAACTATATTTGTTAGAATGTTCAGAATTTAAAGAATTTTCTATGGACCTCTTTCCTATCATCATGTTGCTTCACTCCCTTTAGGGAGTAGAAGTAAAAGTTCTGCTTCCAGCCTACTGTTGTAACAACCAGCCTTAATAATTATCGTGAGTATTAAAGTGATTGACCAAAAGTATTCAGCAGGAGAAGAAAGACAAGGCGGAGAAGGCACTGAGGTGCACACAGAGTGCTGTGTTGCTGAACTGGGGCAGACAGCAGTGACAAAAGCACACTCAGTATAAAGATCCCAGACGGACACATCACATCACCTTTGCTAACTGAGCACAACCTCTGCCTGGGCCAAATGGCAAAGGTATCATCTCTAATGAGATCCTACGTCTTCATCTTAAGTCTCTAGTGGTGGTTATTGTCTGCTGAAGTAAATGGCTCATTGGCACATTAGAAATGTCCATGGTCCAAAGCAATGTATGCACTTTCCTGTTTAGAACTGCGTTATTTAGAACAATAATTTCAGGAGGTTGTGGTGGGAATATGAAGAGGAATTTTCTTACATTTCTTTTGAGTGATCAGAGGAAATCTCACATATGACTTCATTTTCTTCTTTGCTTTGTTTCCAGATCTCACACATGTTCTCATTTCCACCATTTCTCCTGCACGCACAGTCACCAACTTTTAATGGTTTTGTCTTGGTTTAATATTTTTTCTGCTCTTCAGCTTCTCCTAGCAGCAAAGTGTTCTAGAATCCTTCAAATTCATTTCATTTGTGTTTTTGTTTTTATCTGTAATGCTTCCCCTGCAGCAGCCACTCCTCGTTCTAGTCAATCTGCCATTGCCAGCAGCATGGGAAAGCACAACTGTGAAGGAATACAAGCTTAGTCCAGTTGAGGAAATTAATCTTCTGGATTCAGAGAAAGGCATCAAGGCATGAGAGAATGTGTCATCTGTGAATTGTTTAATTTATGTAAAGGTGAAAAATCTGGGCTTGATTTCAGAGCCAGCGCTGTCTACCCCTTGTCTTCTTTTCTGACCTAGCAAAGTCTGGGTGCGTAGTAAACGCTGGATGCACAGGCTCAGCATTTTGAAATTCTACTCTGATTTTGGAGGACCTAAATGTGGTTTAGAGAAACTTCTCTTTGCCTTCTCTTGCATAGCAGGAAGAAAGTTGTGTCTTGGGGCCCCAAAAAGAAAAATGGGATAAGAATCAAGTTGACGAAATCTTCAGTAATGTCATTCACTAAGAAAATTGTCTTCTGTGCATATACAGCTTTTGAATATCTCTAGTGGCCGAGACACTGCTGATGTGGGGCCTGATCCAAGC